TTGTGGGCGTCTCGTTTTGTGGAGGTCAGTAATTATCTGTATACTCGGTGGTAATAACTAGACCCAAACAAACTTTTATTTCTTTGCTGATTTTGGGGGGAAAATGTATTTTAACATGGTAAAATAAATATTGCGGTTTTATTTGTAGCTGAAAGCACAATCAAACTAGGCAAAACATTTCATAACAAACACACAATGGATAGAGAATTGTATAATTTGGATGGTCTACTATATGAATGACATAATGCAGTGGACATGTGTGTGGACAACTTTACATGCCATTTCTCTCATCTTGCATACAGCTGATGTTGGTGGCTTTTTTAAGAATCCAAGCACTGAGCTTCTGGTTCGCTGGTATCAGACGGGTGCGTATCAGCCATTCTTCCGCGCTCATGCTCATCTAGACACCACGCGCAGGGAACCCTGGCTCTTTGGCCCGGAGAACACGGCACTCATCCGGGAGGTAATCCGCCAGCGTTATGCTCTTCTGCCATACTGGTACCAAAATATGAACGAATTAAATTTCTCATCTGTAAACCAGGCTGCAGAAGACTGTGAAGGACATTGTGTCTATCATTAGTTTCCATTCCACTGTGAAATCTTAATGGTCCAATGACCCGCTCCAAATTTGCTGTGCAGCAGTTTTGTGTTCAGTGTGAACAGAATTTCTCTGTATTTGGAAACTTCACATGTGTTTAGGACACAGTGTTAAATGTGAAAATGGCCAAACAAATCCTATTGTCATAACTTTACATGTTGCTTTTCAGGGTTCGATGGAGAATCTCTTTACTTGGAATGACATGAATGAGCCGTCTGTGTTCAATGGGCCTGAGGTCACTATGCACAAAGATGCACTGCATGGAAAGTGGGAGCACAGAGACATCCACAATATCTATGGACTTTATGTGGTGAGGAACTGATGTATGGTCAAATGTGGAATATTTTAAAACCAACTGAAGAGAATGGACAAACATCAATAACATTGTTACTATTATTTTATACTCTACCACCTGCATTAAATATTCTTCCAAATTAAATGTTATTCTCTTCTTTTCCTTGATTTTCTCTTTGTATTATTATGCAGCAAATGGCCACTGCCGAAGGTCAGACTCAGCGATCTGGTGGAGTTGAAAGGCCTTTTGTGCTGACCAGAGCCTTTTTTGCTGGTTCTCAGAGATATGGTGAATTCATGCGGTTGTTTTTGCACACGGAAATTAAAGTTTGAGACTTCGTAATTATTTTATTGTACATGTTGTGTGAAAAAAAACATTTGGGTTTGCATATTTTCATTAGGTGCTGTTTGGACTGGTGATAATGCAGCTGAGTGGGACCATCTCAAGATTTCTATTCCCATGTGTCTCAGTCTTGGGCTTGTGGGCGTCTCGTTTTGTGGAGGTCAGTAATTATCTGTATACTCGGTGGTAATAACTAGACCCAAACAAACTTTTATTTCTTTGCTGATTTTGGGGGGAAAATGTATTTTAACATGGTAAAATAAATATTGCGGTTTTATTTGTAGCTGAAAGCACAATCAAACTAGGCAAAACATTTCATAACAAACACACAATGGATAGAGAATTGTATAATTTGGATGGTCTACTATATGAATGACATAATGCAGTGGACATGTGTGTGGACAACTTTACATGCCATTTCTCTCATCTTGCATACAGCTGATGTTGGTGGCTTTTTTAAGAATCCAAGCACTGAGCTTCTGGTTCGCTGGTATCAGACGGGTGCGTATCAGCCATTCTTCCGTGCTCATGCTCATCTAGACACCACGCGCAGGGAACCCTGGCTCTTTGGCCCGGAGAACACGGCACTCATCCGGGAGGTAATCCGCCAGCGTTATGCTCTTCTGCCATACTGGTACCAGCTGTTATACCAAGCACATAAGACCGGAATGCCTGTCATGAGGTGAGCGAGGTCCCTGTGAATGCTTGCTTATGATATTGTTCATTATTTCACACAGACTAGATTGTTTGTATAGTCATAAGTACTGCTTCATTTTACATGAGTGCACTTTTTCTTTTCTGTCGTGTCTCAGGCCTCTTTGGGTTGATTATCCCAAGGACACAGCAACTTTCACCATTGATGATGAATTCCTAATTGGTGAGAAATTGGAAAAACAACTTTTCTAATATCAAGTCTAATATCAGTCAGTCTGTAATTTATAATGTACTCTGTTTTTTGTTGTTTAGGCAGCGATTTGTTGGTTCACCCAGTCACAGAGGAAGGGTCTCGTGGAGTCACAGCCTATCTGCCTGGAGCCGGAGAGGTGATACTGTTGACTTACATACTTTATGAAATCAAAATCTCTCTCTTTCAGGAAATGCTAGCTAGAATGAGTATATTTATCCCAGGAATATTTTCTACCACCAGCTTCGTTGTTCTATGACATAAACTAAAGCTTAAAAATGTTTTCTTTTCGTCCATGTCAAAAATGTACTTGATGTGAAAATGAACGCAAATGTATATAAACATGTTGAATATTATATTAAGATTAACTCATGCTTCATACTGTTTTCTTTTTTTTTCTATTTCCAGGTTTGGTATGATGTCCACACCTTTCAAAAACACAATGGTGCACAGAATCTCTACATCCCAGTCACTCTAAGCTCTGTAAGAGTTTCTCCTTGTTCAAGAAAACAGTTTTATATTTGAGTTTTATTTATTTGAATTGTTATTTTTTTAAGATCCCGGTGTTCCAGCGTGGTGGCTCTATCATCCCTCGGAAGGACAGAGTTCGAAGGTCTTCCGCCTGCATGGAAAATGACCCATACACCTTGTATGTGGCCCTTAGCCCTAAGGTAAAGAACTAGATCTTTCTGGTGACTAATAAAACAAATGGTATAATTGAATTGAATTGGAAAAAAAAAAAAAAAAAAAAAATTTTCTCTTCTTTCACACTTTTTAGAAATTTGCTGAAGGCGAGCTCTACATTGATGATGGCCATAGTTTAAACTATGATACAAAGAAAGAATTTATTCATCGGAGCCTCACTTTTGCCAACAATGCTCTCACCTCCAGGTATTTATATTAATCTGTCCTTTACTTATCTGCTTCATTGTCCAGACATTTTTTATTCAATTCTGTCAATTCAATTCTTTTATTCAATATTTTTATTCAATAAGTAATTTTGACTCATATACTTTCCTTCATCTCAGCAACCTGTGCCCAGACTGTAATTTCTTAACATCATCATGGATTGAAAAAGTTCTCATTTTGGGTGCCAGCAAACCCAGCAAGGTTCTTCTTAAAATGGATGGTAAGATATTTATTCAGTCCTGTTGAATATTGTAATATCGGAAAAATAATGTCTTGTATTACAGCGGAAATGACCTCAATGTCTCAGTTTGTATGGCATGCTAATCTTCTCATGTTCTCTCGAACAGGTAAAGAAACCCCTGTGGACTTTGAGTTTGACACTTCCATGTCAGTGCTAACCCTCCGTAAACCTGGGATGAATGCTGGGGCCGACTGGACCCTGCTGCTGCAGTAGCTCACTGGATCTCTACAGCGGCCGGGGCCAGTTGACACGAGATCTAAAAAATCACTTGAAAATTTCATCTGTTGAAAATCTCACTCTTAATTCATAAACACATCGAGCACTTACAAATTCATCAATTCAAAAGTGAACAAGTGGTGCAGTGGGTCAGAGATATTTCTCAGTGCTAAAAAGAAATGGATCCAACTGGCAGGGTCAGACAGTAAATGCTTTCCATTTTAAAATGTAGTAGTCATTCAAAAGTCAAAAGCTTTGTTTTTAATTTTGTGTAGTGAAAAGTAGTATTAAAGTCAGATTAACTGAATCATGCAGTGGATTTAAATCATTTCAGGGCAGCAGATAAGAGTGTTAATCGTATTTAAACCCTATGAGCACAGTGAAAACCCAGGCATTACTGAAGTAGATTAGTCTTGAGCAAATATATTTGCTCAGTTTCAAAAATAAGACCACACAACAGGTTCACAAATCAATTCTGTTTGTCTAAAATGTTAAAGATCTAAAAAATGGTTTAACTATGAGCACATCAGGGGTTTTAGAGTTCAGTTTTGAAAGTTCTTCACTGGAGACCACTAATAAGCTCTATTTGCTTATGGCCTAGTTAGTTAATTTGATGTGGGATCTTGGGTTTGGATTGTTTTACAGGGGGAATAACCCACTAAATCTGTGAGTTTATTTTGTCTTATTGCTTACATTTTTGTTTTCTAGAGCACTTGAATATGCTGTTTTTGGGGTGGGTAGAGGATTTATGTTTTCATCCAGCAAAGCAGAATGAAACAGTCAGGCACTTATAATTATTCCAGTCTAATCTACTGTGATGGGGAAGATGATTTGTGAAGTTAATTTTGTCATCCACTATAAAATTGTTGATATCTTGTGAAAATGACTGAAGTAAATGTCTCATGAAGGAGAGCTTTGTGTACATTCCCGTTTGACCATCTTACACTACTGCTCTGATTTTCCACTTTGTTTCATTCCATTTTTGAGGGTGACCCTGAAAGCTCTGAAAATGTGAGGCAAAACATAATGTCTACAGTTCCGATTAATGAGTGTTCAAATGAGATGGTAATAAAAAATATTGTACATTCCCAACTGCATTTGTTTGTTTTGCCTCATCTCTATGGCAGCACAATCCTGAAAAAATTCAAAAGAACATTTTGATTTGTGAAGTCATAACTACACAATTTTATGATAGTTGCTTATTCCATTTAAAAGTACCAGCTTGAGATTAAAGGGTATTAAGCAATAGTACTGAAATAGCTTTTGAAATGTTTTACGTCAAAAGTGGCTCCAGGCTGTTTTTTTCTTTTTTTAAATACATATTTAAAATGGGTCACTTTCACTCAGTTGTAACAATAATGTTACAACAATGTAATTTTCTCTTCGAGATTTTATGGATCATACAGCAGCGGTATGATGATACATTACCTTGCTATCGACAATCTACTGCGACAGTAAAATGAAAGAGCAGGGGTCGCACTTTACATGCGTCATTTGTTGTGTGGTCAATAATGGCGGCGGAAGGCACAGAGGACCTGGGCAACAACGGGGAACTCACAAACCCTTCAGGTTTCCTTTTAAAAGTTACCTAATAAAACACCGAGTTTTTAAGCATGTGTGAATAGTTTTTCGTATTCATTTCTTAAACGCTTTATGCATCAGTTATTACGTCTTCATAAAATAGCTAGCGATCTAAATAACCATTGATTTACTGATTCAAACTTGAGCATTTTTATCCCGTAAGAGTTGTTTGACACATTTATGTTAAATTTAATACGAGGATTAAGTTGCAGACTAACCTTTATAAATGGACAATTAATGAATCACCTTTCGTCAACAAAATATGTAACACTTTGTGTCCAGTAAGGTTATAGCGAGACCAAAGCGAGATTAAATTTTACTAACTGTGATATAAGTTGACTAGGATAAACTATTCTTACCCCTATATTCTGCATCATAACCTAATTCAATACAGTGAATTAAACCGTAGTCTGTTTAATCAATACATCGCTTTCAGTGACAGAGCTTTATGAGCCTGAGGTTGCAGACCTTCCCAAGACAGATGTTGAGGAGTCAGCGGAGAGTGGTGCAGATGGAGGGGACACAGGCGTCCCAACAACACCCTACACAGCGGAAGGAGAAGAGGAGGAAGAGGGAGAGATGCCTGCAGACTTCCAGAGACTTTGGAAACTTACCAGCGACAATCCTCAAGATTTCAACAGCTGGACTGACCTCCTGCAGTATTGTGAACAAGAGGTGAATGTGTTGTAAACAGATTGCAGTGTTTCGTTATTGGGCGGCACCAAAATGTTAGTTGGTTTTAAATTTTTCATTATTTATTGCAGGGCCACATGAGAGCTTGCCGTCAAGCCCTAAATGCGTTTCTGCTGAGGTATCCTCTGTGTTACGGTTACTGGAAAAAGTTTGCGGATCTTGAGAGACGGGCCGGTCACGTCGATAAGGCTGAAGAGGTGAGAACATGCATAGATGGACATTTCAGTCAAATACAAAAGATCAAGAACAATCCCAAAACATAAAATTACTTGGCATACTATTGTATTCACTTTTCTGTAATTTTGTCATATTTAAAGATGATTTGTACATAATATGGCAGCGGAGATGTAATGCTGTATTTGGGTCCCTTGACAGGTGTGTAAACGAGGTTTGAAGGCAGTCCCTCTCAGTGTTGATCTCTGGATTCACTACATCAACCTGCTGCTGGGAACGCTCAACATGAACCTGTCTGAGTCAACACAGCGCATCCGCAGGTACCACTGACAAACTTCCAGCCTTTTTTTTCCAGGATGCAATTTCAGCTTCCATTTTTGTTCTATGATATTGTTAGACCCAGTTTGTTACTAGTTTTCTTTCTCCTCCTGGAAATAACAGATTTTGTCTGAAAGTCAGTCTGCACTGATGCCAAGTTAACTTTGCAAGGGAAGAGCAAGAGGCAGGAGAGACATGATGATAGTATATAGGCGGAGTTTATTGAGGAACATTAGTTGCATCTTTGTCAAATCTGACCAGAAACAAATTGAGCAAGTGTTTTTACAACAAGCAAAGAGAAAATGGAAGTTTAATGCGATTTAGTACGTTAAAGGGATAGTTCACCCAAAAATGAAAATTCTGTCATTAATTACTCACCCTCGTGTCGTTCCAAACCCGTAAGGCCTTTGTTCATCTTTGGAACACAAATTAAGATATTTTTGATTAAATCCAAGAGCTCTCTGACCCTCCAGAGACAGCAAGGGTCCTACCACAATCAAGGTCCAGAAAGGTAGAATTGTTGAAGAATTATTGAATAAAGTTGTTATTCTCGTATTCTCGTAGCTTTATGAAATTACAGTTGAACCACTGATGTCACATGGACTATTTTAAGGATGTTCTTACTACCTTTCTGGACCTTGATCGTGTTAGGACCCTTGCTGTCTTTGGAGGGTCAGAGAGCTCCTGGATTTCATCAAAAATATCTTAATTTGTGTTCCAAAGATGAACAAAGGCCTTGAACGGGTTTGGAACAACACGAGGGTGAGTAATTAATGACAAGAGTTTTCAATTTTGGGTGAACTATCCCTTTAATACTTTTAACAATACAGTTATTCTCCTTAACAGTTAAAGGGATAGTTCACCCAAAAATGAAAATTTGATGTTTATCTGCTTACCCCCAGGGCATCCAAGATGTAGGTGACTTTGTTTCTTCAGTAGAACACAAATTATGATTTTTAACTTTAACCGTTGCAGTCTATCAGTCGTATAATGCATGGCAATGGTAACAAAATCTATGAGAGTAAAAAAAACATGCACAGACAAATCCAAATTAAACCCTGCGGCTCGTGACGACACATTGATGTCCTAAGACACAAAACGATCGGTTTGTGCCAGAAACCGAACAGTCGTATGCATTATACGACTGATAGACTGCAACGGTTAAAGTTAAAAATCATAATTTGTGTTCTACTGAAGAAACAAAGTCACCTACATCTTGGATGCCCTGGGGGTAAGAAGATAAACATCAAATTTTGATTTTTGGGTGAAATATCCCTTCAAAGCAAATATGCACAATTAAGGCTGCAATACACTGCACAATTTTTACTCAGATTATTGCCCCGATTAACAGACTGTACAAGTTGACACTAGTTGCGACACTAGTTAGAAGTGTTTTGTGTTTTTTGCATCAGGCTATGAATTCGTCCTCTCAAAGGATATCAAACATGATTGATATTTTTTATCAATTTTACAACACACTTTGTTTTCATTTGTCATCCATCTCCTGGCAATGAGGTTTGTTTCTGCATTAGTTTGTTGTGTTCAGAACAATCTGAAGGTGTGGTAGTGTGTTATCCTCAGTCATTTAGTGTAGGATGTTTAGTTTTTCTCTGTAATCATTTACAAGTTGGCAAGTATATGATGCCTAGTGTTTTAAAGGGGTCATATGATGCGATTTCAAGTTTTCCTTTCTCTTTGGAGTGTTACAAGCTGATTGTGCATAGATAAGATCCCTGAAGTTGCAAAGACTAAAGTCTCAAAACCAAAGAGATATTCTTTATCAAAGTTAAGACTCTGCCACGCCCCCCTAAAACGGCTCATTCTAACACGCCCCCACATATCTACATCACCATGTGGAAATATTTGCATAATGCGCCCAAATGATCACGCAAAGAAAGAAGGCGTGGTTTCAGGAACAGCAGTTAGTGTTGAAGCAGCCATGTCAAGGAGACGCTGTGTGTTTCTAGGCGAAAGCAAAAGCACTTTATTTAGCCTTCCGAAAGTAGATGCATTTAGGAATCTTTAAGATTACTTACAACAGAACAGCAATGCATTTTATGGACGACCGTTTCGTGAACCTAGGAGAAGAGGTCATTCTGCCTTTGCTATGACAATCTGGCGCTTCTGAATCAGCTACTGTAAGTATGTTTTGCTATTAGTTTAAGTATTTGCTATTGACTGTTCAAATGCGGAGTTTTGCGCATCGTGTGCGTGTGCGCGCGCGCGCGCGCGAGCGAGAGAGAGAGAGAGAGAGAAAGAGAGCGCGAGAGAGAGAGAGAGCGCG